TCAAGCGATACAGTACTTTTGAGTCGCCCTGTATGTTTCAAAATTCTATATTATATTTTTTACTATACTAATTAAATTATAGTATTTCACGCTGTTTTGATTTATGTAAAAATATCAGCCGAGTATAATTTGGAGTCGTTTATCTAAAATTGAAAATTGCAGAGTGTTAAACAGCTTATTTCGCAATAAATCGCGTTCATTTCGCAAACGTTGCAGACTGACAAGGTATGATCAGCAGCTCAGCCAACCACGGTCAACCGCATCCGATATAAATACTCTCATTTGGTAATATATCTCATTAAGGCCTCATTGATCCACCGTCCTGATAAATTCATCCGCCAGTTCAGAATTATACGGGTACAAATCTCTGCTGGTTGGACCGATAAAAAGCTGCCGCAATTTCAAGTTTATCATGCTGGATCAATTTATAGAAAAGTGAATGAAATGGAGTTGAAACATTTGAATTCACCCTGAATTTCGTTAATGATCTACAGATACTCTGAAAATTTTTCAACAATTATTACTCGATAAATAAAATATAGTAACGAAGAAAATTTTCAATTCACCCTCTATATAAAATTATTTCACCAAATGGAAGGAGAATGAAATTCGTTCGAGTGGTTGTTAAAACTTCTTTGCCCTGGCACGGTTAATTTAACCTGCAGTCCAATTTCATAATTAGAAGTTAGCAATCTCCATTAAGACCCTAAATCCCGATCGCGTCTCGGTTTTCCTTTCTCCGGGACGACGTTTCGTTTCCATCGACGGAGGGAATAATAAGAGCTGGCGCAGCAAAGCGGAATAACAGGATACGAAAGCAGGGAGAAAGTAAAAGTTGAGTGCGGATCGGAGACAACATGAAAGTTCAGCTAGAATATGTGACAGGGTGGAAAATTCTACGTGGGGCTAACTTTATCGTCCAAGAGACCTATAAATACCGTTGACAAACTTTTTCGTGCAGATAAAATGGGACTCTCTGTTCCTAATTAGGAACAATTCATTCATAAACACCTGTCTTTAATTAATATCTAATTCCGAAATCCTCTGTCGGAAAATTTTCATTCATTATTCATCTGTATTATGAAAAATAACAATTTTATTTTGTACTAAATATCAATTGCAAATACTCAATGATATTAAAAATAAAAATCTCGAAGAAATCAATTTTTTTGGTGAAGTACTAAAATAACTACCCTCTAAAACTTGAAATTCTCATTAAAAACTATAATAACCACCCTCTAAAGGTTGAAATTTTGATAAAAAGCTACAATAACCACCCTCTAAAAATTGAAATTTTGATAAAAAACTACAATAACCACCCTCTAAAAATCGAAATTTTGATAGAAAACGACAATAACCACCCTCTAAAGGTTGTTACTTTGATTTTTTAAACAAGTAATCCCGATCCCAGCGGTGACCCACCCTCCTACCCTCCGAACTCGAAACTCACCCCGAACGCGTGTCCATGCAAATTGTCTGTTGTTCGATTCGTGTATCAAGATCTGAGTCACGCCTGTAATCTTTCGCATAGTAAATTATCCGCCAATATCAACGAGATTAGATACTGGCTGTTACATTATCTGTTACCAGAGGAGGGGGGAGTTGAAGGAACGGAGAAAGCCTAAAACAGGGATGAACCCGGTTAGAGAAAGAACCAGAGGGTCGGATGGAAAGAGAAAACGAAAAAAAGAGACACTCGAGCCTGGGCTGTAAGGGCTTTGCGCAGTTATAAATGCGGTTTTGTATCTAGCTTTACAGGACAAAGTAATGGGCTTAGATAATCCTGATTTAATAAATCGAACAGTTGCGAGGGACGAGCCCGGACGGAGCGTTTACAACGCGTGCGTGACTAACGCGTTCAAAAACAAGATGAATGACACGCTGGAAGACCTGCTCCTGCATTTACATTTCACCACTATATTTCTTTTTTTTTTCTCTCCTGCCGGGAAAAATCCCGAAAATACCGATCCAAGTGTGGCCGCATTAACCACCGACAGGGATTTGCCCGAAGGGAGAAGTTTCGTCAGATTTTTAGGGGTAGCTGTTAACAGTATGGACCTTCTGTCAATTTTTAACGATTTCATGACAGAAAAGTGGTATAAAATAATACTTGCAGCATATCGATTGAAAGCTTGAAATTCAACGAAGATGACTACATAAATTTTTCATTAATATTTTTAAAAATACTTATTTTATTAGTGACTGATTCAGGGCCGATTCAGGGACTAAGGAAACTAAGGCCCCCCAAGGTCCAGAACCCAAATAAAACCATTTTGCATCTAAGAATGCAAGAAGAGTCATATTTACTTGAATATTAATCTAAATTAGTTATACAAGCTTTAATGTTAATTTTATAAATTTTATTTGAGGTACTTTTTTATGTTATATATGTGGAGGGACTCTTTTTTCGAAGCTCCCCTCGGACCCCCGAAATCTCAGGGCCGACCCTGGACTGATTACATTTTTTGGAAATATTTGAACGATTTAACCAGGGTAATGTTAAACGTTCAATTTGAGGGTACACTGCAGAGAGATTTTAATGGCTTATTATCGGTTACTTGCGTCACGTTTTGGCCCCATTACGGTCTATTAAATTAGAGGTAATTCCTGGTTAAACAGTGTACCGCCATAATGTTATCCGAAAATCAATTCTTACGATGTAGTGGGATCATTTTGTCGGGCTTGATTAAAGATGAATCGTTGTCAAAACGGAAACTAAAATACCAATTTTGTGTCACGGGATAATTTATAGAAGCTGGATATTAAGGAGGGTGTTTTTAATAAACTTAATTATGTAATTAAGAGGAACAGACGCAGATGAATTTTATGTCTAGGGGGAGGTCAATAACCTCCCAGGAAACCTTGACCTTTGCCCATGAAAATTGTTCAGACGAACTCGCACTAGATGGCAGGATCGTCAGTTCCTTAAAAAGCAGAAATTTCCCAGGAATATTTGAATAAAAGTTTCCTTTTTAAATTGAATCTCCCCGAAACTATCCTTGGAGAATACACTCCGCGCAATTTAACTTAGAAAAAAAGTACCAAGGGGATTCTTTATTAAATAAATACCAAGCTAAGTTCGACCTCCTCTTTCGGATGAAACAGCAATAAAATCGTCGATGGAATATTTTCTGTTGGGAGAGAACGAAAAATCAAGACTCGATAAAGCAAACTTAATAATACCCCTGCAGTATTTCCGATCACGATATGTTGATCGGCTCATCGATCGAGCGTTTTACCACCGTAGATAAAACGAAGGGGGCACAATAAGAGAGATAAGCGAAAGCTGGAATGGCGAAGGATAAATTTTTATCGCACCCCCTGCCAGCCACTCGTACGATTGAAAATCGTGTATTTCATTTCTCCTCCGGAAAACTCGATTTTCATTCCATGCTAGACGAATCTATTCTATCAATACGATTCCGAACGCTCAGCCTCTGTTTAAGCAACATTAAATAATTTCACGAGCTAGCCTTTGAATTAGGCTTGAAATTAATAATGGACCTCGAGGGCTTTTAGAAGACCTTAACATCAAAGCTCTAATTACTAAGAATAGCGATAATTAATTTTCAAATTTCAAATCTCCGCTTTCTATTTGCCATTTCACATTATTTGTACCAATAATGTTTTTCTATTGTTTTCTTTTAATTATTCAGGGGCGTGTAAATTGCGGAGCCGGTCCACCGATGACCCCCACGGTGTTCAACGTGCTAAATAATTTATCCTGTACCTTGGAACGTATACAAACTAACGAATGTCTCGTTGAACTAAAATCGAAACGAAGACGCGAACAAGTAGCCGCAGGGGAGAAAAGTCGAGCACACCTGAAGGAAAAAAGGAAACAAGGGTGACTTGAGGTGGCCCTGTACATCTATAAAGCTCGAAATACGCAGCAGGAGTCTGTGTCCCCACAACAATGTATTTAATTAACGTAACGGGCGTCGGGGGAGCGAGCGGGACTCTGAGCGTACCGATTGCACCCACAAACCACCCTTCTCTCTATCCATGCCAGCTCCGCGTGACCCCACTAAACTCCACCCCTGGCCACCCCTCTTTTCTCGCCAATCCGCAGGCTTGTTCAATGGCCGCCAAGTCGAGAGCTTAAATTAAAGATATAAGCGTGAGCGCGGGCGCGAGAAGCGGTAAACGAATTAAAAAGTAAACGACCAGCCGTAAAAGTTAATAGCTGTTCCGATGAAAATTAAAACACTCGAGGAATTAAGATAACGGAGAGAAAGGAAGCCAGACAATCTGGGTGAGATTGACTGTTCCTACTCTTCGACCTAGCCGACACGTAAAACGTCAATTTCCTCTTTAAACGAAAGCCTTATTTCTCTTCGTTCCTTCTAGTTTCGTTATATTCATCCTCTAGTCTTTAGCGAATTTCCTCTTGCTTTTTTAACACTCTGCCTATATAATAATTTTCTAATTTAACCCTTGGACGGTGAAAGGCTTATACAATGGCAAATTGAATTTTTCCCTTAAAATTTTACAATCTTCAATTATCTCCATCGAGCAAGGGTTAATATTAAAAATAGTAAACTTTGAAAAGAATTAACGGGTCCAAAAATATTCAGAGTTGAATTATTCTATGTATAATGTAGTATCTTATAGTGTGCCATTTCTTCTTGGACCACTGTGTATTATTAACCCTTTGCGGTCGAATGTCGCCATACAGCGGCATCACATTTCTATTCGCTAGGTCGATTGTGGCCGCAAGGGCGGCAAAAAATAATACCGTCACTGGGTATATTTTCCTATTTGCCAATACTAACGCTTTGGCTACATTTAATGCTTAAGTATATAATATCACATTATACAAAAAAATATATTCGACCCAGTGAGAAGTACACTTGAAAAAGTCCTCGACCTCAAAGGGTTAAAGTCCTTCCAATTACAGGATATTTAATTATTATGAAAGTACCTACCGATGGACTCCAACCGGATTAAGCATTCTGCCTGGAGAAACAGTTCCAATGAAGCGATCGCTCTGTTTGCAGGTCTGGTTCCAGAACAGGAGGACAAAATGGCGGAAAAAGCACGCGGCCGAAATGGCGACGGCGAAAAGGCGGCAAGAAGAGGTCGAGGGCGTCGTTGCGGAGGGTGAGGATGGTTGCAGCGATACGGAAACCGATGGAAACAGCGAGACTGCAGCGAAGAGACTCAGAAGAGAGCTGGAACAACAATACAGGCATTAAATAATTGAAATAAAAAAGACATTCATGGAGTAGATTCCTCTTTTAAGCAGAGGGCAAGATGGATTCTAGCGACCAGAATATAGATTAATAAATTTGGAAATTTAGTCTTTCTAATTTGTTACATGAATTTTGTGATGTTTCAGTGGAAATGTGATCAGCCCTTGGACGGCGATGATTTACATTTAATTTCCATTTTCTAAATTCTGAAGTTGAAAGATTTGAGTTAAGTTTACTCGAAGCATCGTTTTCTAGGTCTGAATCGTGACTGACCCTTAACACTCAAAGGGTTAAGGAGACTCTGCATTTTGAATATTTGTTGCTATCGATTTTCTGTCGTTTATAGAAATCTATCGTCATTTGTATATATTTGTACTAAGATACTCGTATACGCATCACGAGCAAAACGATCGTGCCATCTGTCTCGACGTACGTTAACAAAGTCACACGAGAAATTATTGTTAAGTAAAGAAAGCGACGAACAAATTATTTACGGGTGAAATTATTTGCAGGATTCTTTATGAATCTCTATAAAGAATTAAAAGTTTTGTGTAAATTTCAAGCATTTCTTGTTTGGAATGATTTTAAGGCAAGAAATGAATTCTGCAATTAGCAAAATTAATTTTTTATTAAGTTAATCAAATTGGTGTCAATTTGTAACGTGAAATATTAACTAGTCTAGTCAAACGTACGTAAAAAGAAATTCAAAAATACTTATTTTGAAACATCCTATTCGTTGCGACTTGCCTTAAAATTAATCAACTACTTTGATCCTGCAAGTAATTAATTAAGGAAAATGAATGCAGATAAGCTCGTATTCAATTAACAACACGTGTATAGTAAATGTATGCTGAATATCGGACAAGCCATTACCACCACTATAAATATAAATATATAAATATAATAACACGCAAACGAGAATGCAAGTAAATTAAGAAGATGGAAATGATTCCCCTTACAAATTGTCTATTTACGTCCCAGTGAGCTAAGCCAATGAAAAAAAAACTATGCGGATCGAAATGAATTTTGTATATTCTGTAGATACGGTAAACGTGAATGTGATATTTAATAAGAGTCTGACATTAATTATACAGGTTGATTCTAAAGCTGGTCACAGGATTCTTAATGTGTAGTGAGCGAAAGAGAATCGTACAGATTAACTGTGATACTGGGTATTAAATTTTTATGAGTTAAATTAATTACGCCACTCTATTCAACCTCAAAGATGGTATAATAATCTGAGGAACGTTGGAATTATGGTAGTGATTCATTATGATTAATTAGAACTCTGAGTTAGAGTAGTGATCCTCTCTGATCCAAAGTTACCCTAACAATCTATTTTCACTTGGTGTATTAATTTACTCTAATCAAAAGTTAGAGTAGTGATCTATGAAAACTCAAGGTTATAGCAATGATCTACTATAATTTTGAGTGATAATCTACTCTGACTCAAGATTAGAGTAGCATTCTACTCAAGTTTTAAATTATATTATAATAACAGTCTACTCTAATTCAGGATTGAAATAGCATTCAAATCTATAGCAATAATGCACTCTAACTTACACTAACAGTTTGCACAAGATTAGAGTTATTGCTATAATTCAGATTACAGTTTTAATTAATAACCCCTTAAGTTTATTCCAAACGCAATACACAGAGGATCTATCTGTGCCTGCTCTAGAATCTTCCAGTGAGTAGATATCACTAGTAACAAACACAAAATGGAAAAAAGGCAAGCAAAATAGGAATGTAGATATAAAATAATGTATAATCACACGAAACATGCGGCTAAGGAGGACACGTAGATTACCAATGAGAGACCGAGAGTCGCGCAAAAGCCACCCCCTGCTGTTCGACTGCGATTCTGTCGCGGCTAATCGGTTTAATCGATGTTTTCTGAATAAAAGACAAAGTGGTATGCGAAAGAATAAAGTGGATGAACCATCGAAACGAAGAGAAATCTAGCGTACCGCACGAGTTAATCGAGCATTCAGCGTTACTGTACAGTATATTTAGATAAATTGCTAAGCGAACGAAGGTAGAGACAATCTGTATAAAGTATTGTATAAATTATACATACGTGTTATCTATCGCTTGTGTATTATATCTCCAATTTAATAAATGGAACACGTATTATGGTAATTATGAAACTATTCTTGTGCTGATTTTTTCATTGATTCATCGATTCTCAAACACGTCTCCCTTTTCCCTGTTTCTTCTGACCAAAATCAGTAGAATTGAAATAGAAATTCAAATCATTAGAGATATAAAATCAAAATCTTTCACTAAAAATATAATTTACAATAAATACTATTTTCTTGTCCATTTATATTATTAATCTTAACGTTAATTAGCCATCGCTTAATTAACTTGTACAACTTAATTTCTTTTTTAATTTATGTTATATATTTTTATGGATCATTTAACAATCTTTCATGCAGATCGATTGAGAGAGCAGAAGTACGTAGACTAAAGTGAAAATCAGGAGGAGCATCAGGACCATTGATAACGACATGCAAGGGGTCGTAATGAACGGCACGTTGCACGAAAGCCATCAATCATAAGGGAAGGCACTTGAAAGGTGTAATTTTTAACACATCGACTGCCAATAAAACCCGACCAACGTTGATTACAAAGAGGATTTGCACAATTTTCAAACGAGAAAACAAAAACGTAGACAGACAGATGCGATCATTCGCAAAATAGAAATATTTCTAAAGTACCAAAATACATTCTACAGTAACAAAATTAACTAAAAGAGAAAAAAAACAGATGAATTAATAGATCATCCCCTAGATCAGAAAAATGAAAGACTAGACGATGCTCATCGTTCGAAAGCCTAGTGAACCGGAAGCGATGTTTCGTAGGGACAAGTAGAACGTAATAAACCGTGGAAAAAGTCTTGTTGGCCTGGCGTTTTCGTAACCGGTATCGATTTCAAATATACGTACGCGAAAGAGGGCAATGGGGTGGTGATTAATGTTACGAGAGTTTTCGTGAGTCATAAAGTTAGCATTCGTAGAGAGAGGTGTTAGAGAGAGAGTCCGGGTCTTTTACGTCTCTCCGCCCTCGATCGGTCGGAGAACAGTTGAAAACCTTCGTACCGGGTCCATTGGCAGTGTAAATTTATCGCGGTGTTAAGCCGTTAATATTTGCTCTCGCACGGCTTTAAATCAATGAGAAAATATTCTAATTGGAATATGAAAAAAGTTGGCACACGGTCCGCGCCCGTTGCCGTGTGACAGAGGGTGCTGTTTGCCGATGCCAATAGAGCGGCGAGGGGTGGCACGGAACTACGGTAAGGTGGCCTGTCTGCCACCGTTACAGAATAGAATATAAATTGTCTTAACGAGTTGCCGGGCCAAAGAAAAATGGCAAAAAGTTTTCGACTCGGGACCATTCGCGCTCCGCCGACTCTGCCTGTATTGACCCTATAGATTCCGTCCAAACGTCACGATTCCTCTAACTACAAAGCAAGTTTACTAATTTCCTGAATCGAAGCACGGAGTAACGTTCTGCCAACGCACCCACCCCGACCACCCTCTGTCACGACCCATTAATTCGCCAAGATCCATTAACATCTCGTGGATATCGTATCGTCGCGGCAACGTATGCGTATACGTTGTCGCCTAATTGGCTGGATTTAATTGATTTCGAATTTCCTACGGTATACGTGCTTTGTTCCTGGAGTAATTAGACTGTCTCTGTTTCTTAACAAATGAATCTTATTCAGATTAAGTGAGAGGAAAAAATAAGTTTAATTAGTTATAACTTTTATGTTGTTGAAATTTTTACCATTCACTATTTTTTCTCGCCATTTCAACAAATTGTAATTTTTTAAAACGATGAAAATACATATTTTAATGAATTAATTTTTATAGCTTCTGAAAAAACCTCGAGTTATTTAGTCCAATTTTAACCGAGGTATTCTATTTTGAACAGTGTCTACTTACTTTTGCCTCTCACTGTACACCTTTTAATTATTCGGTTTGAATATATTCTAAAATTAGGATTAAGGGTGTGTTGGATGTACCTTGGGTTTAGGTTGGGAAAGGTTTAGGTCTATTATTTTGATAGATGCTCCTAATGAAGATGAAACTGTCCTCTCGAGTCATCTCCTGTTCTCTTCAAGTTCCAAATTAAATCTACACAAAATTAAGTGGTACAAGTTAATTAAGGGATGGCTATGTTAAAATTAACGTTAAGATTAATGTTACAAATGGGCAAGAAAATATCGGAAAGGGACGAAGGACACTTCGCCAGTCATCGAGATTAACCCCGTGTAATCACGGTGAAACGATCCTGCTCGATCGATTAGCAACGAAGAGTTGGAAATGTCGGAATTAAGGGATGACGATCGGTTACACGAGGATTTTCAAGAACACGGCACGCGGCGCAGATGAAAGCTATCGCCCTATCCGCGCGCGCGATGGGCCTGGACTCGATTTCGAACGAGATCGACCCCGATCGCGATTCCAGCCGGCAATAATTTCTCTTCGGTAACCGGCTGACAGGGAATCCCAGGTTTTACTTCGAATACCGCATTGATTAACTTATCTAATCTAATTTAAATGCGAACCTGCCAGAGGGAAAACCGGCTTTGTCTCGCTTCCACTTTTCACCCGGTGGAGAGAGGAAGAGCAACGGGCCATCGGTTAGACAGCAGGGGATGTAGGCGAACACCCTTGCGGTGTAACCGATGCTACACGGGGTAAGGAAGAAAGAGAGAGAGAGGAGGAGGAACTAGGAACATTAAGCGCGATAGCGAACGCCGCGACGGCCAAGGAACGAGACAAAGAGAAAAATGGGGATCCGAGAGGGTGGATGTTCCGAATCCGAGCGAAGCGGAAAGAAGAGGAAAGGCTCGCGGTGCGAAAAGGGAAGAAGACATTCGGGGTGGCATGGAAGTGGTTGCACGAGATAATGAGAGAAGCGAGGGTGAAACAAAATGAAGCGATCTAGTATGGGCGGGTCGTAGGAGCAGTAATACGAACAGGGTTATACCGTGTTGAGTAAGGCGAGTTAGGGCATACAAACCGCTGTGTAACGTATCAAATCGAGTGCTGAATCCGGGATTAAATCGGCGAGAAGCGAAACAAGGGAACCGGGGGCCGTGAACGACATCCGTGCTGCCGCTACGAAGACGAGGAAATCCACGTAGCTAACGGTTAACGTCTGCGCAAATGAGCTACCAAGTTGTATCGTTTCCTTTCGTTTTATTTGCCATTGAAGACGCGCGGAGATCGTTAAACAACGCTATGTTCCTCCAGGAATTGAATATATGTAAAACAAAGAAAAAGAATTTTGAGTTAGATAGCACCAGAAATTGTCCTCGAGCATTAAATCATGATACAATTACTATGCTATGGTTATCAGGGCTGGTCCTAAGATTTCAGGGGTTCGAAAAAGAACCCCTTCACATATATGACATAAATAAAAGTAGCTCAAATAAAATTTATAAAATTAACATTAAAGCTTGTATAACTAATTTAAATTTGCATTTACATCGTTTAATATTCAAGTAAACATTACTCTTTTTATATTCTTAGACGCAAAATCGTCCCAGAGGGCCCTGGACCTTGGGGGACCCTAGGCCACCTAGTCTGCCTAGGCCCAGGACCGGCCCTGATGGTTATTATACTTCTGTTCACAAATTATTTGAAGCAAATCGTTCGAATAATTTGTGACGATCATATTCCTCCTCTCTCACGGAATAACGCATGATCGACAGTACAATAATAACGGCGATTACGACAATATTGAAGCAACGGCTGACTTTGTTACCGTATATAACTAGGGGATTTTCCCCCTTATCCTCGGACACCCTAACCACCCTTAACTTACTGCATTAGTTTCGCAAATTGAAGAATTCCGGCTATATTTCCATTCTATCTTCAACTGTTCCTTCCCTCCACGTTGTCTTATTGCATGAATACAATATCGGAACATGGATTTTCAATAATCCCCTGCTCAGATCAAAATCTATACATAAATTAAGTCAAATATTACTAATGCTGCTAGTAAACTATAAATTAACATATGTAAAAAGATATTACCTGCTTTTTTATTATAATAATCGTCAAATAACCACGCCATAGCACTTATTGTTCTGTGACTAAATATTCGATACTTTATTCGATACTTTATTCGATACTTCATTCAATATCGAAACTAATCAGTAGAAACAATATGGCGTCGTACTAACCTACGCTGAATACACTTTTTTCACATAATAGTATTTTTTAAACAATGTTTCAGATCGAAAACTATACGATTTGATATTTTTTAACCAAAAATTTTTGGTCTCCTAAAACGAAGTTTGACCGATACTTTATTCGATCTTTCGTATCATACTTCCGGTTGCGACACCTACTCTCGATTTCGATACTTATCGATTGAATAAATGTATCGATAATTTGGGGGCTACGATTATACCTCAGCACCTTGCTTTTATTGAACAATGAAAATACATTTAAATAAATAATTAAATCAAAACTGAAAAAAAAGAAATGTCATAGAGTTACCTCTCCCCTTTCCACCCACTTCTTCTACTTTTCGAACATCGTTTACCGTTCTTCCCTTCCCTATTTATCATCCGACTACTCATCTGCTGACTTGTTATTAAATTAATCCTTCGTTTAGTCAAATTGATGCATTGATATCATAGAGCACTCATAACTCACGGCACCCTTTCCGCCACGATTAGTACACGCGCAGCCGTTTTCACGCGCGACCCCTGATTCAACGAAGTGAGGGGGCTTTACTCTGCAATTCCCTATTTGCACCGATGCAGACTCCACTATTTATTAACATCATTACTTATCATTTCAACCACTCGTGCATCACGATGACGTCACTGAGATAAATGCATCCTAACAGTGGACCCGCGACAAGCTTTGTTTAATGGTTAACCTCGAACACCTCGGCTAATGACTAATGACATTGGCGCGCTTTTCTTTTTGATCAGCGCCACGTTGCGAAAGTATCTCGCAATAGGTTCGAATATCGATTCGTTTCGATCGCGAGAGCTTTGGATCGACCGCGAATATTTGAAATTGTTAAGTTAATAATAAACTTTCGAAAAACAGAAACATTCGGAAGATTTACCATCGAAATGTTTGGTCCCATCAATCATAGAAACGACAGCAAAGCAAATACTAAAATCGATGAGACCGCGTAATTAGTATACGCGATAGAGACGTTGATGGCCGGGGAAGTTTTATTTTCCGTTTCCTCCTCGGAGCGTTTTCAATTTGAATGCCGATTAATCTGGTCGAATAATCTTACCGTATATTTCGAGCGGTCCTCCGATATTCGTTTGAGGGCATTTGTATTTTTTTTTTTTTTTTTTTTAAACTAAACGTTTCACTTTATCGGCGGCGCACAGCAATTAATAATAACACGCAATCGCGGCCGTATCTTTTATAACCTTTTGGAGTATAAATCGCGAAATTCTGGAATTATCAGGCAGCCGGGAATGAAAGGCTATTTCCGTCGCACGGAATCACGGGCAATATTTTACGTGGGATTGGGGTTGAACGCGGACACATCGACGTTTGATATTTTTATGCAGTGGCGCCACCGCGGAGAGATTTACGAGGCAGATATGCGATCACAAAATGTCCGACACTAAATCAAACATGTTGCATCGGAAAACATCAGAAATTATTATTGGGACTTTTATGGGATCGACGGGAGCGAAAGAAACGTACAATGTAACTCGACGCGCCGTTTCATTGGGAGTATCTTACGGAGGATCTATCAGAGAATAAATCGTGATATATTAAACTCTCTGATTTCTCCATATTTTTTTATAGAGATGCATTTTGGAAAGGAAGGTATTATGACTACTCATTGAACTGCAACAGTAGTGCGAGCGCCATTATTATAACAATGATATAAATTACTGCCTGCACTCGATTTACATTAAAACATGATGTTTTTTTTCAGCTGAAAATGAAGTTTATTACTGTATGACGTTAACAAATTTGCCTGCTACGTTTAGCGTATTCTGATATAAATTTCATCATGACATTTTTTCCACGGTATAAAAACTATCATAAATCCGTGAATACATCAATTGAACGATCGTCAATCATATTCAATAGGAAATAAAAGAAATAAATTCCGCCACGAACAATACGATACAATCATAAATTTACAATACAAATGACTCCTTGTTAAACAATTATATTTTCCTGTATTACTGAAGAAGAGTCCAGGAATTTAGAATATTTAAATTATAAAAATGATATATTGGAGCATAAATCGAGATGGAAATGGAGCATTATTATGTACGTTTTACGGAGATAAATTTTTATGTTTAAAAAAGTAAGTAACGCGATAAATAATATAAATAATAATGTGTTTATAATAAAGCTAAAATCAATTTTGTCTTTGTCGGTACACCAGTTTTAGTTGCCTGTATCCCAGCAGATAACTAATTCTCTAGATCGTTAATATCACATTCTGCAAAAAAAAGAAAAAAACTATTATACATTATTTGATTGAAATATTAGCAGATACAAGTACCCTATGCTCTACATTTACATATTGTTATTTATCAATCATTTTTACCTAAATGTAATTGATAAATCATTGCAAATAATTTTATAAACATTGTATCAATTTCAAATAAGTAAGCGTGCAACAAAATGCGTTGCATTAGTGCCGTTTTAATGCTACTAATGAAGGAACACAGGTTTTCCTTCCCTCTGAACCCCTCCTTCTTTGGCCCTTACATTCTTTATCCTTAGAAGAAATAAAGGCAGAGTCGTAACAGCGGGATGATTAATATCCGGCTGACAGTTTGTGAAACGGGCAGCCAATAAACGGGATAAAAATACTGGTGAAAAATAGCGCGCTCATTAGGGGTACAGTGACATCTGCGACTGCTGCGCCCGAAAGTCTTTGAGAAACGTAGGAAGGTGCCTGAACGAAGGGAACAAAGAAGACAGGTTTATTAAAGTAATGGCGGATCATTTTAATATTGCAATGAGAGCGCATAGTATTCGCTATCTTCAGAACCTAATAACTTTTTATCAAGGTTATTACTTCTGTCTTTGCCTACTTAATTTAAAACTTTTAAGGCAATGAATTAATCTAACTTCAATTTCAATTACTTATTAGTTGTTAAAACTTCTAGCATCGTTACAAATATCAGTATGATATTATTAACTTTAATGTTGCATTTATTGCATTTCAATCTTTGTGTTTTTTAAATATTTACGTCCACTGTATATTTATAAGAAGCCAATGTTTCTAATGTTATACTTGTTGCATTAATTATAAATTATTTAAATTTGTACATAGTTGTATACGTATGTATACCGTGTGCTCTAATTCTTATTCAAATTTCACGCTAAAATGGGGCTTCTCCTCTCGTGACCTCTCTTACTTCTAGGGTTATGTACTAGATGTCGCTAAACATCAGCTTGAAGGCACTTGAAAGCGCAATGTATGTATACCGCAGTTCACCAGAGTCCATAACAGTCCATAACTACGAAAAGACCAGTTTTGTTCTTCGCGCTTCTCCAGTGCGCATCTTCGCCCTGATTGGCGATACTTCCAAACGAAGTGGAAAGCGATTAGCAGAGAGCTCGCTGCGTTCCCCCACCATCTTCCAACCTGCGCGTCGCAGTTATGGACTCTGGTGAACTGCGGTATATATATGTAGCCGGATTCAAAACAATGCTGTACTAATTAATATACATTAATAATACATGTATAAATAATATAAATTCCACAATAAAACTTCATATCATATTAAGTTATAAAATTTGTATAAAAATGTGTGACGGTGAGTCATTCATATCAGTACATAAATATAACCTATTCTAAATATTTACAGCACCCGTAATTGTAAACTTATTTACTCTTAATATATTCATTTCATTTCATTTTCAGAGGAGGTAATACGTCGGAGATTGCTCATAGATGGAGATGGTACTGGAGATGACCGTAGAATAAATATGCTTTTGAAATCATTTATTAAATGGGCAAATTCCTCGGATGTAGACAATACATTACATGAAAGAATGTTATCACAACTGGCTCAATGTGAATTTGCACAAAGGAAATCTAGATTAGTCTCAAATATGAGTCAAGAAGAACTAAAAAGTTATGAGAAATTGTCCAAGGAAATTGAAGTTCAAATTGAAGAGGCTAAAAAGGATATAGAAAAAACAAAAGCAGAACTACAGGAAGCAAAACGTGTAAGAAAGAACAGAATTGAATATGATGTATTGGCAAAAGTCATAAATGAACAACCGGACAGAGTAGAAACTAATTTGAAACTTACTACACTACGCGAAGAATTAGGCAAGTTAAAGGTAAAGTAGTTTGCATTATTATGATTAAGAAACTGCAGGTTGTTTCTGCAACTCAGAAAAGTAATTTAAATATTTGAATGTACAGGAAAAGTCTGAGCAATTAGAACACAAATTGGAAATGAGAAGGAAACAATTTCATGTCTTAATATCCTCTATACATTCTTTACAAGGAATGTTAGATGAGTGTGATGAAGAAATAATGGATGTGAGTTTAGAAAATTATGAAGATCCAGACACTCCAGTACCAGTTAAAAGTGAAGCATCTTGAAACAAAATTATAAATACATATTTATAAGTTGCTTGAACAAGCTCAAATTTTATAAATGCACTTCGTAATTCTTAAGTTTTTCTTATAAAAGTATATTATCCAAATTTTAATTTTAATTTACTAGTCTTAGGAACATGTCTGATTGTCAAAGACAACCTAACACCTCTTTTTAATAACTGCCCTTCCGAAAATTCTTCTCCGCATATGCTCAAATTTTTCATAGTTAATTTTGAAACAACATCAGTATCTTTCTCTGCAATTGAATGTAAATAATTATGATATAGATCTCCTTGCAGAATAAGCAAACTTCTAGGTTCCAATAGAAAACTAAATTCTAGATTTTGTTCATGTTGCTGCAAAAGAAAATCATTAGTAATTTATGATGCTTAATTATGGCAATTTAACAATTATAACTGCTACAACCTGTGTACTGTCAAGTCGTTTATAAAACTCAAGAAGCGTATGAGATCCACAACTAATGGTTGTTACAATAGGATGGAAAAGTGGACCATCTGAATGTGCCTGATAAACATGAGACATGTTACATTTTGTTCTAATTGCTTCCCAGTATTTTATAATTATATGTGATTAAACATATACCATTATTCCCTGGCCTGGTAAATATTCATTAATCAAGACATGATTAGGTAACTTTCCCTTCTCAAACACATTACAGGATGAAACTTTGTCAACATATTTTGTTAACCACTGAAAATGAAAAACATATTTGTGTTATCTAATATTAATGTTACTTTCTTAAAACAATTCTGTACATTATTGTTAAATACTTACACTTGGTATTTCTTCTGCTATCATACCTTTAGGGTGTGGAATACCACCCCAATTTTGTAACCTTCTATGACTTAATTGTGTCCACTTTGGCAAAGGAGCATTATTGACATATTTGATTATTTCTTCTTCTTCCTCTGATGTAACAAAATTTGGTATATACATGGCCAACTTGGGCACCTATAAGAGATAGAATATAATAGTTTTTCAATATAAAAATTAAACATAACCTTTGATAAAAGTAGTAATGATATCAACAATAAACCTCTGAAATCACATTTTTGGGAAATACACAATTGTATTCTTCCATTTTGAGATAAATGCAATGAAGAAATAACAAAGCTAGTAATAATGCATTCAATCAATGATATATTATGTATAAAATAACAGATATTTCAATACACTGATTTTGTCCATGTTTATTACTGGCATGTATACCTATAAATGTCATACATTTTTAATATTAAAAATTTATGTTAACTTTTGTTTTACTGTTACATATTCGATGTAAGCGCCTATGCCTAATACCATTTCATTTTATGGTAATCATAGGTTTTCAAAGACTTAAATTGATTTTCTCTTATAAACTTTTTGTTGGACAACAATAAATTAGTAATTATATTTTGCATACAGTAGTATTCCGTCATTTTTCATATAACATTAGAGAGTGTTTTCTTATCAAACATGAAAATACAAACAATTCGAATGGGTTAGTGATGTACTTACATAAAATCAATCATTTTATGGAAGAAAACATCCTTGGCGCAACTACACGAATTACGCAAATATTTAAATACCAAATCACTGAAAAACAATATTAGATGTTTGTAACATCGTATCATTATTTAAATAAATAAAGAACGAAAATGGATGAGAGTAAAGCAATAAATCAAATGGATAACAAGGAATTAGAACTTCTTAAAATTCATCAGGTATATTTTGAAAATTGTACTGTGAAATTATTGCAATTATTGTATTCTACATTACTATAGAATAATTAATATTGTAATTATTTAAAGAGAATGTATATAGTTTCTTATAGATAACAACTTTGAAAATACTGCTGATGCATTAATGATAGAAGCTGCAATAAAGGGCCATAAAAATCTTGATGAAAATTTGGAAATTCAAAATGTGACCTATGCAGCTAATTATGAGAACATGATGTTAAGTTACAAGACAGGAGATTGGAGAACATTTTTCAAAGTAAAAATATCTGTTAACTTAATTATTATTATAATTTCTAAGATATTTCTTGTTTTTAGTTATGGAATTTGTTGGTACCTGATGATGCTAAACAAACAAGAGCTTATAAAATTCTGATGTTGAATCTACATGTATATTTTACAATGTTACCTAAACGTATGTTACTTTCGCATTGTTGTAAAGAGAAAGGTAAAACAATAGAGTATACTCTAAATAATATAGAAATATTCATAATTTATACTTTTTGCTTTGTTTAGATAAAACTAATCCAAGTGATTCTATGATATCCATAAATCAACAAGATTTTGAGCAAGATGAGGTAATTTCAATGATGTTAAATTTGATTTTTAGCAATTACTTCACCTGAGTTATTTTTTATTTATCTGATAAATTTTGATTTAATAATAATTGGAAAAGAAACAGCTGTAACTGATTTAACATTAATAACACACAGCATATTAAAACTGAAATAGAGAAAAACATGAATGAGAATATGGAGCAATTATGTGTATTTTTAAATACAGAAGGTAAAGAATTAGAAAATGATATTGAACTGCGGCCGTTTTTTGCATTACCCTTTATTGAAGATCCATATGCAGAACCATTTCTATCTAAAATATTTGAACAGAGTTGGATAGATGAATTGAGAGACAATGTACAGCTATTTCTTAATGAATACAAACCAGTAAGTAAAACAAGGTAACTAAAAATGTATATGTAAAATAATTCATAAAAGTTTATGTAATTTTTAAGAATTTTAGCGATGATGGTTTCAACAAATTTTCTTCAAATCAAGAATTTCAATCAGAAGAATTGAAAAAAGATATAGTCGCAGAAAAATTAACTAGAGACAATATACCGATTGTACCAAATGATAGAAACATTCCAATATTTTTAGAAGATGGAGAAACTGGAGAACAATATAGCTTATGCAGTGATACAAATTACAATCAAAAGACAAAGTGAGAATACTGTCAGTACTGTGTTTCTTAAATTAAATAAACTTTAATGGTGATTATTTTTTTTTACAGAAGTATACAAACTGTATCAATAAACTCATCTGCAGAAGAAATACCTTCATCATATTCTGGCAGAGGCCATAAAAAATTATTGCAGTGTACTCAAGAATTAGCGCTAACACAAACCAATTTATGTACTGTTCGTTCTAATTATGAAAAACTGAAGCTGAGATTTCATAAATTGCATGCTGATTATCATAAATTGATGAGCATTGCAAGAGTATTAACAACTGCTTTAGAAAACTCAGTAAAAGGGCAATCAATTGATTTCCAAGCTATGTTAGAAACTTGTATAAAAATTTTTCCAGATTTGTTTAATCAAAATATACGAGATAGTTCACATGTAAGCAGTAGATTTTCTATATACATATACATATATTTTGAATGATAATGTTATGTTACTTTTCATATATGTATACAGTGTTCCTCAGAAGCACTGTCAGACAAATCCCGTTCTGATATGAATATTGTTAAACATTCTATGTCATACAGTATATCTGTTCCTCCAAAATTACTGGATTTCAAAAAGATTAAATTACATCTAATTAATGGAAGTATTAAAGTCAAATTGTTCCTCTTGCAAGCATTGAGAAGGGTAAGTCAGTACACTCTTATGGATGATCTATAAAATTTTAAAATTAAAATATAAATGGTTTTCAGAAAATAACTTTTGGTCAACCTGGGGAAAGGGATGAGACACTACACGAGTATATAAGTAAAGATTTACTTGGCCTTCACAGTCAAATTGCTAGTTATAAAGGCAAATCGATTTTGCCACACTTATTAACTCCAGAAAACTTTATTATACCGCATCCTTTGCAGCAGTCAGTCACGAGATTATTAAATACTTTAGCATCATTCAGATGTGGACGAGATTATTTGTCATTTGATTCTACTGTTGTTGATATGGTACTAACATAGTTTTATTAATCCTTACATATTTTAATTTAGTTATGTTGCAAGTTTTATTCTAATTCTTTGAAATAAAATAATACAATTAATAGAATGAATATTTTAGGTATATAAATGCCTTAGTAATATCTGTGATAATAATATAGATACAGTGACCTGTAACATGATGATTGCAATGCTGCAGAAATTATCATTACGAAAACAGCAAAGACTGTATATGATTGAAAATGGATTAGTAGAATGGTTAATTCATCATTTGCATGACCAGTGTCGCATTATGGATTCTTACCGACTAGAATATGCTACAGCTCTTTTGATGAACTTATCATTACATCATGTAGCTCAAAAAAGAGCATCTGCAATGGCATCTTTACTTATTTCAACGTTAATTACTTTGCTTTTAATGGATCATGCATCGGTATAATAATTTTCTTCCTGTGTGTTTTATAAATATAATTGTAATAATATAAAGTTTAATTGAAATCCACATTTATATTAGGCATTGCCGTATGTTAATGGGGCATTAAACAACTTTTTGACAAATTATAAAATTAATGAAGAAGCCAAAAAAATGAAATTTTCATCCATGCTAGAACAGTACAGTAAATATAAAACTGGAGAGATAAGGTAAAATAGTTTCTGATGTGTTACACAAAAATTATATTATTTCCCAAAATTAAAAATGACATGTTTAATAGGAAACATTTGGATCACATTTTAAAAATCCATAAAGGTGAAATTACTATTAAAACGGAAGATGAAGAAATGGCAGATAACGATAATGTGAGTAATAATTCATAGCATATTTTGTTCCCTATCAATAGAAAATTGTTATTTCTTCAGGAGGAGTTTGATGTAGTAGAAAGTCAATTAGAAGAAAATGATCCGGTAAAAAGTAACTATGGAGAATTATGTGGAGAAGCATTACTTGCATCGTGTTATACGATTTTACGGAAAGTAATTCAACGAAAAGAAATGAATACCGAAGTATCATCTATCGCCCAAACAGATTATGTTAAAACAGATACGATTAACCACAGTTTACAAACGAGTCAAGTTAAAAATTTATGTTCTGAACATGAAGCAGTATTACAGGAGGATAATTTTCCAAGGTATTACTATGTAGTACTCCTATTGAAATTTATTTCTTCCCAAATCCATTTAAACGCGTTTGCATATATACTTCATATATTGGGAGAATAATAAAATTTTATATTTTTCATATATTTTAACCATCCAATGATACATTATCTTTCAAGAAGAAAACATATGAAAGACAAACATAACATTATGGTCATACAAGATTTCACTGAAAAAACAATCTTATATCCAAAATCACAGTCGCGTGTAACTAAGTTAATTTCTTCTTCGTCTAAGGTATTTAATGAGAAATAATAGGGTGTTATTATGGGAACGTACCATCATTTAAATTACATTTTTTCAAGGAGCGCATTTCTAAACAACTTACGAATAAAAACCGGAATCGTTCTAAATCTGCAATTGAAAATTCCGAGGAAATTGATTCAGAAGTTGAAATGAAATTACAAAAACCTCATAAACGTAATAAAGATTCAGAAGACTCGCAATTAAGAATAATAAAAGATCATAAAAATTCTGTAAATGAATTGTTTAATGAAAGTGCTATATATTTGCTCGAAAATCAATGTTCGAAGTTCGTTATTGTTTTACAAAGAATCAAATTTAATATCATTGAGTTAACGCAAAGTCTTTTTCCAGGCAAAACAGTAAAGTGACTGTAACATCTTCTGTGTTCCTAGCAGTTGGAAGTAAAGCTGATTCTTCAGGTAAGAATCATCCATATAGATTTCTATGTTACTTCCATTTCAGCAAAACAGGTATCCGATAATTAATTACTAGTTCGAACGGTTCTAAATCCAGATATCTAAGCACGTTTGACAAGTAAGATATAATTCAAGTACTAGATAGTGAAAGCCTCGTAACTTTCTCCTAAACGTATGTTAGGTCGTGATCTTGGGAAAATTAGATCAAGTAAATGAAAGTGATAAACCCTTGAACGACATTCAATACCGCTATTAATTAATAAAATGTATTATCAGTATCTTTAAAAAATTATTACTTTTTTTCAGTCATGGAGAAGCTGAGCAGTATTGCATCACTGTGAGTCAAGATGTTAATGTTCAATTGCACTTTGTGATTTTGTACATAGTTATGCACTATTGACCATTTTATATTAGAATTTAAATCTTTTTGTACACTGTGAACTTTCAAATAAATTATATATTTTAT